GCGGGTAGAAGCGAAGTCAGCGACAGCAGCGACAAGCGCGTCAAGGCGCGAGACAGGAACAGCAGGGTCGGTAACAAGAGAGGCAAGGACCCGAGGGACAAGGGGACGAGCAGCACGGAGGTAGTCAGAGAACGGAGGAGGTGCAACAGCAAGGGACGAGGGAGGAGGGGACGAGAGGAGGGGAGGACGAGACGAGTGGGAACGGAGCAACATAGGGTGGGTGGGCAGGACAGGAGAGACGGGACGAGCACGGGAGGGACGGCGAGCCCAAACGTGAGACGGAGGGGTAGGGTCAGGGGACAGCGGAGGAGACACAGGAGGGGAACGAGGAGGAAGACGGGCCGGAGACGAGTCTGGCGGCGGGAACACAGGACCGTAGACAGGAAGGTCAGGAGGCGGTGGGGGAGACACCGGCGCGCGGTCCGGGGAGGGAAGGCCGAGCAGGCGGAGAGCGGAAACCGGCGGCGACGGCTGCTGCGGCGGCGACGACGGCTGGGCCGGAACTCTCGGACCAGCAGAGGCAGAACGACCGTCGGCAGAACACTCAACAGCAGCACCCCCAGAACCAACACCCCCAGAGCGAGAACCCCCTCCAACACCAGCGGCACCCCCAGAAGCCGCAGGACGAACACCCTCCTCCACACCAGCACCCCCAGGGGCCGAGAGCAGCGGCGGCAGTGGCGGCAACGGCTGCGGCGGCGGCGACAGCGGCGAAGGCTGCGGCAGCGACAGCGGCGGCGGCGGCGACGACAGCGGCGACGGCTGCGGCGGCGACGGCGACGGCGGCGGCAGCGGGGTCGGCGACTGCGACAGTGGGGGCGGAGGCACCGGGGAAGGGGGACGCGGCAAGGACGGACCGGGGGTACCACCAGAGTCAGCAGACTCCTCAACGGGGACAACCGACGGGAGGGGAGTGACGTGGGAGACACCAGACGGGGCAGGACGAGGCGGGAGAGGGGCAGGGGCTACCGGGGGAGAGGGAGCAAGGAAAAGGGGGGGGGCAACTGGGAGACCTCGGTGAGGGAAACGGCGGTAGAAGGAGACGGACTCGTCAAGGGTGACGTCACGAGAGTGGAGGAAGCGGTGAGACGGCGGGTGGTAGAAAAGCCAGTCAGACGAGTCCAGGGGGAAACCGAGGAAGACACAGGGGACAGTGCGGGCAGTGAGCTTGTCCGTGCCAGAGGCACGAACGTGAGCAAGGCAGCCCCAGACGTGGAACGCAGACGCGTCACCGGGGGACCCGGTCCAAAGGAGGGTCGGCGAAACCTGCGGCCGCTGGGAGCGTGGCCACAGGTTAAGCTGGTGAGCCGCGTAGCGAACAGCGAACGGCCACAGAAAATGGGGGGCATCGGCATGGATCATGGAGGTACGGGCGACCTCCATGACCAAGCCGATGCGGCGCTCAGCAACCCCATTCTGCTGTGGCGAGTCCGGCAACGTGTACGACTGGGTGATGCCCTCCGCACGACAGAACTGTCCAAGCCGACCAGAGGCGAACTCGCCGCCACGGTCGGAGTGGAGACACAACACGGGGAGACCGCGGTAGAGACGCGCAGCCACAACCCACGGGAGAAGAACGTCGGGCACGTCGGCCTTCCGCTCCAGGGGAAACACCGTGGTGTAGCGCGTGTAGTCGTCGACGAGCACAAGGAAGTAGCGCTCACCGCGCGGTCCGGGGACGGGGGCAGGGCCCCAAACGTCCAAGTGCAGGGTCTGAAGGGGGGCAGTAGCAGGACGCAGCGAGGAGGAGTGAGGAGCACGGCGGAGCCGACCCTCGACGCAAGGCGTGCACGGTGGCGCAGTCGAGGGAGGAAGGGTAGGGAGCGACGCGGGGAGACCTAAGACAAGACCGTGCTGGGACATGTGACGCAGACGCGGGAGAGCAGGGTGACCTAAGCGGTGGTGCCAGAGAAGGGAGGGGTGAGTGAGGGACCGACACGAGCAAGCTGCAGCGACCTGGGAGGACGCACCAACCGGGGGGGAAGCGGTGTGTAGGGTAAACAGACCGGACACCGGGTCCCGGGGGAACGTCGCAAGGGGGGAACCTGAGACAGCCTCAGAACAGACAGCGAACCGCTCGTGCCCGGGGAACGTGGTGGTGACGCCGAGGTCCTGGAGACAGCCGACACCAACCAGGTTCCTGGAGAACGAGGGAACGTGGAGGCCAGTAAGGGAGCCCGAGGGAACTGCCGGACAGGGAAGGGACGTAGAACTGCGCGCGACGACCGGACCTGCAGAGGGGTCAGCGAGAGAGACAACAGCAGGTGCAGCAAGCGGCGTGAGCGTGGAACGGTCGCGGAAGAAGCAGGCAGAAGCACCAGAGTCGAGAGTGAAGGACAGCGACGCAGTGGCGGAGCCCGGGGACGGAGCCGGTGCAGCGACTAGACTAGGCAACCTAGGCAGTCCTACGCCTGTCGCAGCAGGGGAAGCTAAGCTACACAAGGGTGAAACACCTAAACTAGAGTACACAGGGTAGTAAGATCCAGCAACACTAGAAGCGTCAGCATACAAAGCATGCAAAGCAGCACCTATCTGATCCATGTCTAACTCAAAGATCGGCACGCCCTGGCGGAGCAGGCTGTGCCAGTCAGGGAGGTCCGGGGCCGGGCCAAAGCGACGATGAAAAAGATCGTCTAGGCGGCGGAAACAGCGGGCGGTTGGGTGCGGGCGGCGGCACAGAGTGCCGCGGAGAGGCCCGGTCTGAAGCTGGTACTGGCAGGTCACAGCACTGGAGCCGCTGGTAGACGCCAAGCTGCGCGGGCCGCCACCACGGCCACCGCCTCCGGAGGTGCCGGGCCAACCAGGCGGGAGACGAGCCCACGGCTGCGGCGGGTGCTGCTGGGACGGCGGCTGCGGCTGGGGCTGGTCCTGCTGCTGCTGGGGCTGCTGCTCCTGCCCACCGGTGGTAGTCCCCTCAGGCGGACTACCGTCACCACCACCACGACCACTACCACCTGCGTCGCCACCCCTACCTCCCTGGCGGCCACGGCCACTGCGACGCGAGCGCTGCTGCGGGTGGACAGCAGCAGCCGTCTCGGTAAGAGGGGTCGCCGTGGCGACCGCAGCCGAAACGTCAGTGAACGTGCACTGGGATGGGGCACAGCCGTGAAAGATAGAGACTGCCGGCGCACCGCTCGACTGAGCGATAGTGCGCTGGCGAGTCTCGATCTCAGTGAGGGTGTCGACAAAGGCGGTCAGGGTGAGGTCACTCGGGTGCTGGCTAAGAAAGTGGTCGCGAGCACTAGCGAGGCGGTCTGGCAGGCGCATAGCGATAAAATAGAGCGTCATGCAGAAAGGAGGGGGGAGCGCAGTGAGCTGGGCAGCAGTGCTGGCAGTGCGATAGCGAGTCTCTAGGGCACGCAAATGAGTGGCAAAATCTGCGACAGTAGGGAAGGCAGCCAGGTCTGGGAACAGCATCGGAAAGAGCAAGCGGCCAGCAGAAGCGGAGGCAGGGGTGGAATAGCGAGCAATAACGGCGTCTAAATAAGCTTTGGCCGTTTCAACAGTAGCAAAACGCGAGCGCTCAGACACAGGGAGCGCGTGACTAATAGCAACCTGAGCTACTGCATCGCGTGAGTCCCAGACCGCACAGGCCAGCGCAGCAGTAGAGAAAGCCTCACGGTCATCAGAGGAGGGGTCAGCAGGGAGGGGAGTAGGTGCAGGGGGACGGGGGAGCAAGCCATCAGCATGGACAACCAGAGAGTGGCCATCCTGGCGCTGACCTGTAAGCTGGCGGCGGAGATCGGAGAGCCAGGCGGCGAAGTCAACCGCGTGGCCCTCAGCGTCCAGGCGGAGCACAAAGTCAGCCATCGTGCAGGGTCAGCGGCACAGCTCCTCAGCGACACAGCGGCACAGCAGCACAGCTCCTCAGCGGCACAGGAGCATAGCGGCGCGGGGACACGGCGGCAGCACTCTCCAGTAGGGCAGCAGCTAGGCGTCCCAGCGCAGGCGAGCAGAAGACACAGGGCCCGAGAGGACACGGCAGGCCGAGCAGGGGAGGCGGGCAGGTGCTCTGGGGCCGGGCTGGTGCTGGGAGGGGCCAGGCTGGTGCTGCTGGGGCCGGTCGGGCACGAGGAGGGGCCGGGCAGCGCTGAGGAGAGGCCGGGCGGCGCTAGGAAGGGGCCGGGCGGCACTAGGAGGAGGCCGGGCGGCACTAGGAGGAGGCCGAGCGGCACTAGGAGGAGGCCAGGCGGGCGAGCGCTAACAGCAGGCGCGACAGGGGCCAGCGGGCGCGACGGGGCCTAAGGGGCGCGACGGGGCCCAGCGGGCACGACGGGGCCCAGGGGGGGCGCGACGGGGCCGAGGAGGCGCGACGGGGACCAGCGGGCACGACGGGGCCCAGGGGGGCCGCGACGGGGCCTAACGGGCGCGACGGGACCCAGGGGGGGCGCGACGGGGCCTAGCAGGCGCGACGGGGCCTAGGAAGCGCGAAGGGGCCCAGCGGGCGCGACGGGGCCTAGGAGGGGCGCGACGGGGCCGAACGGGCGCGACGGGGCCCAGAGGGGGGGGACGCGACGGGGCTTAGGAGGCACGACGATGCCTAGGAGGCACGACGGGGCTCAGCGGGCTCGACGGGGCCCATGGGGGGTGCGACGGGGCCTAGGAGGCGCAACGGGGCCCAGCGGGGGCGCGTTAGGGCCTAGGGGTCGCGACGGGGCCCAGCGGGCGCGACGGGGCCCAGGGGGAGCGCGACGGGGCCTAGGAGGCGCGACGGGGCCCAGCGGGCACGACGGGGCCCAGGGGGGGCGCGACGGGGCCTAACGAGCGCGACGGGGCCCAGGGGGGGCGCGACGGGGCCTAGGGGGCGCGACGGGGCCTAGGAGGCGCGACGGGCGGAAGCGGTAGGCGGGGGGATCCTAACCTAAGCGTGATACCATGTTAACGTAGAAACGAATGATTACTAGAGGTGGAAACCCAGAACAAATACTAGTTGGTTGTACTCACTAGAAGCATACCTCAGTCTAGCCTATAACTTCTACATAGATAATATGTATAAGTTGACATGTACATCGTAGGAAGCTCGGTTCACGCATTCAAAACAAATTAACCCATATTACTCTTTCCTCGCATGTTCATCACGTGCATCTTGCAATTGTCGCATGCAACAATGGCTTCATCTATACATTTTGGTGCAAGCAAGCTTCGGAACAGGTTCATTCCAAGCGGTTCAGTGCTGTGTCGATATTTGCCCACACCCAGTGCAGGTTCACGTCACCAAGCGAACCTGCACCAAGTACTGCATCTAACTCCTTGTAATATGCCCTACGATGCAGGAACTTGGACCGGCGACCCTGCCACTCCCGGTATGGAACCCGCACCAGCACTCGGGAACACAGAAGCAGGGAACGCAGGGGCAGGCCTGGCAGTGAGTCTCAGCCGGAGCCTGTCCAGCGAAGCAGCAATGGTCTGCGTGTCTCGCCTGAGCTTCTGCAGGGTATCCAGAACATCCCCAGTCACCTCATTCCCGCGCATACTGCTGGAAGTTGCACCCCCAGCGCTGCTGCGACTGGGAACCGGACTGCTGCTTGTACTGCAGCCCGGGGACTCTGCTGCTGGAGTGCTTCCGACTGCGGCTAGCCCTGCGGCCGGAGCACTTGCAGAGACACTAGGGGACGATGTAGAGGCGGGGTACGATGGAGGAGAAATGGGTGCATGGCCTGGGGGAGGGTTGCAGGAAGAAGGACCAGCACTGACGACACCTGTGCTTGTATCTTCGGGGCCCCTCTCTTGAGTGGCGGCTTCAGCTTCCCGTGGCTCCCCTTCACCTGCTGTGTGTCCATCAAGGCAGCCGCTCCCCCTGCTGCTCCCCACGTCCTTGCTGTCCCTTGGCGCACCTGCTGCGCCATCAGCAACCCCTGCCCCTGCCTCTTCCGCATATCTCAGGCATGCTGCTGCTGCTGTGTCTGGTGGTGGTGGTGGTGCTGCTGCTGTGTCTGGTGGTGGCGGTGGTGGTGGTGGTGGTGCTGCTGTGTCTGGTGGTGGCGGTGGTGGTGGTGGTGCTGCTGCTGTGTCTGGTGGTGGCGGTGGTGGTGCTGCTGCTGCTGCTGTGTCTGGTGGTGGCGGTGGTGGTGGTGCTGCTGCTGCTGTGTCTGGTGGTGGTGGTGGTGCTGCTGCTGGTGTGTCTGGTGGTGGTGGTGGTGCTGCTGCTGCTGCTGCTGCTGCTGCTGCTGCTGATGCTGTCGTCCCCGCGGCTACATGGCCTGTGTCCAGGCCTGCATGGTCTACATGGTCTTCACGACAAAGTACGCCGCTCGTAGTCCCTTCACCCTCGTTGCTCTTCTGCCCTGCACCACCACAGCTCCCATCAGACTCATTCCTGTTTGCGCCGCCAGACCCCGGGCTCCCATCGGAGCGCACTGACGCCTTAGCCAGCACTGCCCTGGACCGCTCCAGAACCTTCCTGGCAGCTTCGGTGGCAGCAGCTGCAGCAGCCATGGCTTCGGCTGCGGCCCTACCAGATGGGGTCGAGCGGAAGGACGCCAGCGAGCCGTTGACAGACGCATTGCTGATGGAGACTCCACTGATGGACGCGCCATCAGCAGATGCACCACCCATCGAGGCAGCACTGCCACTGCTCGCCATGCTGCTTGCTCGCTCCATCCCCTCACATGCACTCCCACCCCCCATGCGCACCCCCTCCATGCTACCCGTTCCTTGGCTCTTGGTGCTACCCATTCCTTGGCCCTCCATGCTACCTATGCCTCCCTTTCTTTCGCCCGTGAAAGCCCCGCCTGGACTGGACAAAGTGACCTCCACTGCCTCCCCATGCTGCTCCTCTGCCTGCTCCCTCCCTCTCCTCTTCCGTTCCTCGCCCCCCAGCCTTGCAGTTTCAGTTGCATCAGCAGAATCCGTGACATCAGCGCCCTTGTCAACACTGTCCACGTCAGCACTGTCCACGTCAGCATCGTCCACCAGATCAGCCAGCTGCTCCCAGATGGAATCGCTCTCCAGACCTGGGTCTATCTCAATAGGAACCGTTGAGCCAACAGGTGGCTGCTCACACGTACCAGTCTTAAACGTGACATGCTCTGGGCCTGCGCCACCAGGCGCAACAGCCTCCTCCTCGGTCTGCTCTCTCCTGCCCTCCTCTTTACCCTCCTCTTCCTCTTGTCCCGCAGTGGCATTGCCACCTTCCCTGCCCGCCTCTCTCCCTCGCCCACCTTCCTCCGCCACCCCCTCCTGCTCTTTCTCCTCCTCTCCTCCCTCCTCCACCTCCTCACCCTCCTCTGCATCCTGCTCCGCCTGCTGCTCCGCCTGCTGCTGCACCTTAGCCTTTTCCAGGTCTCGCAGCCACTGCTCCTTCTTCTCCTCCCACTCTCTCTCCAGCGACACCACCCGTGCCTTGGCACGATCCCTTAGGTCCTGCAACCGCTCAGCCTCGTTCGCTGCCCAACTCGCCCTGCCAGGATTCGTGGAGGGGAGGGAGGGCGGGTGGGGGGGGGAGAGAGGGGGAGTGGATGGCGCGATCCCTCAGGTCCTGCAGTCTCTCAGCCTCGTTCGCTGCCCAACTCGCGGGCATGGGTGGTGGGGTGGGGTGGGGAGGGGTGGGGTGGGGTGGGGAGGGGTGGGGTGGGGTGGGGTGGGGGATGGGGAGGGATGGGTGGGAGAGAGGGCGTGTGAAGGATGGGGTGCGGAATATGGTGGGTAGAGCCTTCTTCTCTTCCCACTCTCTCACCCATGCCTTGGCGCGACCTCTCGGCCTTGTTGGCTGCCCAGCTCGCCCTGACAGGAGTCCCCTCTCCAGCCGGCCACCCTCTCCAGCCGGCCACCCTCTCCAGCCGACCACCCTCTCCAGCTGGCCGAACCAGAACCTACACCCAAACCAGATCCCACACCCAAACCAAAGGCCGGATCTAAAAGTTTCAAAACTACTGAACAGCACACATACCCAGAAGCCGCCTGTTGGTGAAGGTTGGGAGCACTGCCTCGCCCCCCTTGCTGCTGCTGGTGCTGCTGGAACTGCTGCTGCTGCTGCTGATACTGCTGCTGCTGCCCGTTGCCTCGGGCAGATGAAAAAGAGTGCACTGGGGACGTTCCCGCCACAGTATTCCGGGCGAAAGACGAGTAGCTACTGCTCCGATTGGGCACACCACGGAAGTTACCCGTGGGCGACAGGTACGAGCTGTACCCCTGCGACGCTCTGAATCCCCCCCCACCCCTCTGCACTCCCCTCTGCGCGCCCATGCCCATGGCCCTTCCGCCTGCAGGCGCGGAGCAGGGGCATGGGGGCAGGCGCGAGCGCAGGGCGTCGAAAACTGCGCGCTTGTTGCCGTCTGTCAGTACTGTGTGCGCCTGGGGGGGGGGGGGGGGGGGGGGGGGGGACGGGGGGAAGAGGGGAGAGGGTTGGGAGAAAGGAGCGGAGGGGTCAGGGGGTGTTTGGCGCCGTTAGTGGAGGTGAAGAAGGGCAGGAGGGCGGAGGGAGTCGTAATGGGCACGCATGTTTCTGCCTGTTGCAACAGACAGAGGATGTCGCAGGTCGCTGCCTGTTAGGGTTGCAAGGGCTGCCTGAGACGGCGGGAGGGGGGTGCAGAGGGCGACATGGGAGCTCTAGGAGGAGAGAATGGGAAGGCGGACGAAATGGCACTCACCTCCTTGACGTAGCGGAAAGCCTCCTGCGCCTTCTGCGACTTGTTCTTGTCCGGGTGCAGCAGAAGCGCTGAGAGAGGGGGGGGAAGACAGGAGGACAATTAGAGACGAAGGAGACGAGGAGAGACAGCAGCGGGGACCACACTCAGTGTGAGGGCAATCACAGGACGGAAGGACGGCCTCAGTCACAGTGGCAGTCCGTGGGACGAAAATGCGAGCAAGCGAATGTGGTTCGATGTGTAGGGCAATGCGAGTTGGTCGCGGGACGCACCTAATTGGCGGTATCGTTTCTTGATTCCGCCTTCGTCCGTCCTCGCATCCACCTGAAGGAAAGGCGATCAGAGCCCATGCCAGACATTACATGGCCGTACAAGAAAGCCACGATACACGCACCCAGCGCGATACACGCGCCCAGCGCGATATAAGCACCCAGCCGAACGAGCGTGCTCGAAATAACGAACGTAAGCGGCGTACCTGGAGCACGCTGAACCAATCCACGTAATCCTTTGGAAGCGGGCCAATGGGACGGCGACACCTCGGACACTCGGGTACGTGGCCGACAGCGGCGAGAACCTGAGCGACCGCGAGGAGCTCCGCCAATCCCTTGGCGCCAGGTGTCGCCCGCTCGAGCTTCACGAGCAGCGCGAGCGCGTTATCCGCGCGGCTCTGTATCAATAACGACTCTGCTTGTGCGAGGACAGCCATGGCTGCCTCCTGGTCGAGGCGCGACGCCATTCGCAAAGGTACCAATCTCCTAAGCGGCGGAACTAGTCACAATTCTGGTCTTTATTCTGCCACTTCTATAAAACATTCGGAAACGAAGCCCTGACGCACGGCACGGCCTACAAGAGCGCTGCTGACTGGCTGGATGCTCTGCAGGGAGGAACAAACAGCCGAGAGCAGTTCAAGAAAGACACGAGGCGTGAAGAGCCGTCCTCAACAAACTTGAGGACATCGGCTGTGGCTTGTTCAGGCGGACCAGAGGGGGTATGATGGTGTCTGGAGAAACTCAAAACACAAGCAGAGCACGAGCAGGGAGGGAGATTGTGCAAGTGCAAGAGAAGAGCAAGAGCATAGCAGAATGGAGGCAGCAGAGCAGAGCAGCGCGGAGTAGCGCGGAGTAGTGCGGCCATCAACCTGCCGAGCCCAGCCGTGAGGTCAGAGGCTCTGGAGGCTCAGCCCAAACCGCAGGTTGGCGAGAAAGAAGGCTCGTTCGGGCAATGCCGAAGCAACGTTGACACATCAGAAAAGTGCAAACCGTGCCGAGCCGATGGTTTCGGTTCGGACACGCTGAAGACCGCCAAACTCGTTAGTGCGAGCTTCGTCATGACCACAACCTCGTCAGCCTGCTCACCTGGATTTCATGAGCACACGAACAATTTATTCTCTCATCAACGTCATTCATAATATTTTGACTATCATTGTCATAATCCGCCCTCAGGTCATTATGCAAGCAAGCTGCGATGGGGCTGTGTGCGCTTTCGAGATGTGCAGTGCAGGATCCCGACGAAGGGCAGCCAATAGCATTCAAACAGCTACCCTGAATTGACAGAATTACCTCTAAGAGTTGGGAAGGCCAAATGTGTCACACCCGTGGGTAGGGTCACACCTGTGGGTAGAGTCCTCACACGTTGAGACCCCATTGTCACATGCATACTAAATGTGACCTGACCGACCACACGAAAACATCACTGTCCTGAAGGGGCTGTGCAGGGTGAGATGCGGAGCCATGGTCAGGTCACATGACATGAGGGTTGATTTTCAACATCTGTGAACGTACCTGGCTATATCCCGGCATCAGTTTGCTGTGAGAGGTGTTGCTCACAGCAGCAGGCTGTCACTGGCACAGGAACGGTCACGAGCAGACACATGCGCGACCAGCCACGAAGCGGGTGGGTTGCATATGTATGTGGATGTGGGAATTGGCGTGGGTTTGGCATGGTGGAGCGGGCAGTGTGGGGGAAGTTGGGAAATGGGGAAAGGGGGTGGAGGGGGGTGGTGGGGGGGGTGGGGGGGGGGGAAGATATACGGGGCATGACACAACCTAATAAGTAGCCCTAGCACCTAAACCTAGCCATCTGCTAACAAACATGTTACAAAAAAACCCCTTCTTAAAGCATCATGCAATAACCCCCTTTAAGCTTGTGACACACTGCAGCATCACTGGCTGGCAGACCATGCACCCTGCGGCAGTTGCTGCTGCTGCTGCTGATGCCCCAACTTGAGTTTGTCTTCAACCTTCTGTTCATCCCAACCATGCCAAGTGCCCTGCAAGGGCGAGAAGCGAGGCAGAGAAAGGGGGAGTAAGCCACTGTTTGCGGAGGTGCAGAGAATGAATGAAAATAAAAAACAGCACCAGAGTGAGTAATGCACAATGGGTGCACCGAGTGCAACGCGTGTAGTAAAACAAGCATATTAATAAGGGCTCTTGGCAGTAACAGAGGAGACGTAAGGAAGCAGTGAAAGCTCACCTGTTTTGGCAGACTGACGAATTTAAAAACTTCTTCCCACCCACCAACACACGGAGGCCTGCTGGGTGAGGAGGAAGGCAGTGCAAAGGATGTTATGCGGAATGCAAATGGTGCAAAGCATGGGATCTAAAAAGAAACTCCAGAAACAGAAAGAAGCGAGCAAAAAGACTCCGGGTGTAGCAGCAGCTCAAGAACATGCACCATAGATGAAGGAGGGTTCTCTAGGGCTGAGGGTTATGCTTGCACCTCGAACCTGAGGGAGGCTTACCTGAGGAAGGTCTACCTGAGGGGGGCTTACCTGAGGCTGGTTATACCTGAGTGAGTTGATCTGTGTTCTATAGACTGAGCTACAACCAGGAATGTGGGTTGATGAGCGACAGAACTTCGCGCGTTGTGAAACAAAGTTCCAGGCTGAGGCAGGAGCGAGTACTTACTGAATAATGTTGGTGGCACCCATCCCACGTATCCTCCCCGACCACCCAGCTGAGCTGCTGGGCTTGTGTTGACTCACCCTGCTGGGGGAGGGGAGGGGTCAGAGGAAAGGGAGATAGGTGCACGGAGAGGGGAGGTTGCACATGGGACGTGAAAGGAATGGCATGAAATGAAAAGCAAGAGAAGGTGTGGCAGCAGCTATAGAACACAGGTCACAACACAGATTACAAAGGATACTTGAGGGTTGTACCTGAGGGGTTTACCTGAGGGCTGTACCTGCAAATTGTACCTGAGGGGTTTACCTGAGGGCTGTACCTGCAAATTGTACCTGAGGGGGGTACCAGAGGGGTTGATATGTGTACTGAAGACAGAACGACGTCCATAGATGAGGGTTGGATATGCAAAATGAGAAATCGAAACGGAGCGGTGGGGTGCTAAGAGCCAGGGATACTTAGCTGGTTTCTTGGAAGCAGCACGTCCAAGTCCTTACCCGCTGCACTCCTCCCCTCTCCAACTGCTGCTTGCGTACAGGTGCTGCCCAGCCCAGTGGCTGCAAGGGAAGACAGGGCGAGGGGGAGGCAGAGAGGAGGAACCAAGTGAGGACAGGACTAGGAGCTTGACAGGCGTGGAAGACAAAAAGAATTAGAAAAGAATTAGAAACACAGCTGAAGTACTTGGTAGCAATAGACTGACGGCAAGGGAGTGACGAGGGAGCAAAGCGAGCTCAACGCCCGATACCCTCAGCCTTTGCAGCTGGCAGGTCAGTTGATGTTGCCAGATAGTTCCTCACACCCGCACTTCCACACAGCCATCCAGAAACGTAGCACCTGCTGAGGAGTGGGAGGGAGGGTGGGAGGGACCAAGCAGCGAAGGTATCTTAGTTGAGGGGTGGGGGGGGTTGGTGGAGGGGGTGAACTAAGGAACAGTGAGTGTGAGTGCAGCAGTGGGAGCAGTGGGAGCATGAGGGCCTTCGCAGCAGCCAGGGACGTACCAGCTGAACCATCCCATACCTTACCAGGAAACCGTTGACCTGGGGCTACCTGCAAGTACCTGGCCACCTGAACAGTTGACCTGGGGGGGTTCCCTGGGCGCCACTGGCAGCAACGGCAGAGAAACGAAACAGCAGTGAAGAGTGGGCTTGTGAACGCATGGAAAGGCAGAGGAGGGACGGGTATTTATCTGGTTCTCGCTTCCTGATTTACCCACGGCCTGCCATTCCCCCTTGCTGCCCACACTAGCGGCGCGAGGCAAGAGTCAGTGCCTTGCATGCAAGCACACAGAGACGAGAGTGGAAATGCGGAAAGGAAAGGGGAGGGTGGGGGGAAGGGGAACGGGTAGATGAGAGGCCATTAGTCTGTGCGTGATTGATGGAAAGACACGACCAACAGAAAAAGACGCGACTCTCTAGGCGTGTCTATAAGTCCCCCCACCTCCCCCCCTTACCGTTTCCTCACCCTTGTCTCGCAACCCATTCTAACGGCAGTTGGCCGCTTTGCCTCCACGGAACGGCCTGGTAGAGACGCGTGCGCCATGGAGGCCCAGTGGGGTAATCCCCAGAGGAGTCTCGAACCAGCAGCCTGGAAGTCACTCGCTGCGAGCAGGGACGGGAAGCGGGGGAAAGGGGAGAGGAAGCATTAGCGCGTACGAACGCAGGAAACGCGACCCTCTCGGCGTTGCGGCGCGAGATGCCTACAGGTCCCCCTTAGGTTCCCGTTTCCCTTCACGCACCTGCGCCTTGGAGCCAGCGCTGATGGCGCTGATGGCGCTGATGGCGCTGACGGCGCTGACGGAGCTGATGGCGCTTGGCAGTTTCGCGCGCGCTCCCAGCGGACGGCAGAGCGTCGCCAACGGTCAGCATCGCTCCCACCGGCCGGCATGGCAGCGCGGCGTCGCCCAGCGGCAGAGTCGTTTCGCGCGGTCAGATGAATCGAGCCACGTCGACGCCTAGGGCTACAGCGGCGGACGCCGAGGGGGCGACTAGCTGTAGCAGCGGAGCAAGCAGCGGCGACGCTCTCCTCTGCCTTGCTCGCGCGCGCTGCTCTTGACTGCCGGATCTGAACTCGGAGGCACTCCGGGCCTGCCGGCCGGCAGCACTGACGGCTGACGGTGCCGTCCGACTGGTGGCTGGCGCTGCTGCCAGCTGCTGCTTCGGTCACCCGGTTGGTTCCCAAATTGGAAGTTGGCAACACCTCAGGATTCGCCGAAACCTTTCGGTAACGATCGCCAAGACTATTGCCGGACTAGGAGGCACTTCTCACTAAGTCGCTTCCGACGACGTGCTGGCGGTGTGCTCTAGATGTTGGCGAAAGACTGACTGGCGTCGCAGGTTCCGCCGCGCTTCAAGTTTGAGATTTTGGGACGCTAAGAATCTAACGGAGGGTACGAATTGAGGCGAAGCTATCAGGTACGAACTGAGGCGGAGCTGTCAGGTATGAACTGAGGCGGAGCTATCAGGCACGAACTGAGGCGGAGCTGTCAGGTATGAACTGAGGCGGAGCTGTCAGGTATGAACTGAGGCGGAGCTATCAGGCGCGCTGTATTTGCGTTGCACAAGAAGAGCACGTTCAGGGGGAAGGGGAGAGGCACAAGGAGTGGAAGCATGAGTCTCAACGTCACACCAAGTATCGACACGAAAGAAAGAGGAAACGAGACTTCAGGCGATTCTATGCGACACAACCCCCCCACCTCCCCTTTCACTCCACGCACCTCCCCCCTTCCAACGACCGCTGTGAGGCCGACTCGGAGAAGCGCCAGTCGCTGGAGATCGCCGGAGTCGCCGGAATCGCGGCGATCGCAGGGATCGCAGCGCATGCTTCGGGCGTCAGGCGTATTGATGCTGAGGTGAGGCCAATATTCCAAACGGCCGGTTCTCGCCTCGGAATCGCGGGGACTCAGCCGCCTCGCAGCCGTCGTGCGTCAAGTATCAGAAGCTCAGAAGCTCAGATGCCGAGTCCAGCTCTTGCATGCGTGAAGCCAGGCACGGGGATCGGTTGGATGGGAATGGAAGGGGAATGGGGAGAGAAGGAGAGGGGGGGAGAAGGGGAAGGGGAACAGCGCATTAGCCGGTGTGCGATTCAAGGATAGACGCGACGAGAAACAATGACGTGACTCTCTAGGCGTTCCTGTACGACCCCCCCAACTCCCCCCACTACTCACGTACCCTTCTCTCATCACCCGTGCACATGCCGCCAGGCCATTTTGGGAGCCACCGAACAGAGGAAGCGTCTCGACGTCTCGGCGTGACGTCTCGGGATCTCCGCGTTTCGGCGTAGCGTCTCGGCATCTCGGCATTTCACCGTCTCGCCATCAAGCCGTCTAGCCGTCAAGCCGTCTAGCCGTCTAGCCGTCTTGCCGTCTTGCCGTCTCGCCGTCTCCAACATAACGTTTCTGGCTCAGAGTCGCCACGAGACGTTGGATGGAAAGAGTGCCTTGCGCGCAACGCATACACACCGAGCCGATGGAAGAAGAGGGGGGGAAGAAAGCGCAGGGGAAGAGAGCTAAGGCATTAGTATCGGTGTGAGGCACGATTCGACGCGATGAGCAACGAGACGCGAAACTCTAGGCGGTCCTGCAGTATCCCCCCCAACGACCCGGTCCCCTCACGCACCCTTGGTCTTGTACCCCGGTCGCATGGCTCGCGACCGTGTTCACTACGAGATGGAGAAGCGTCGACGACGCGCGACGCACGACGCACGACGCACGGCAGCAGATTCGTGTCCAGAAGCGTCACGAGTGCCCAATCTCATCGTCACGTCGTCTCTCCGTCTCTGTCTCCGCGTCTCCGCGTCACCGCGTCACCGCGTCTCTCCAACAGAACGTGTCCGTCTTGCGTTAGAGTGGCCGCGAGTGGTTGGATGGACAACAGAGTGCCTCGCATGCACGCACACATGGAAGAGGGGAACACAAGGCAAGGCGGAATGTAGAGCAGTGAGTTTCCGCGTAATCAAAGAATCGACGCGGCTAAAACAAGGATTGCGACTCTCTAGGCGTTTCTATACAACCGCCCTAACTCCCCTCTCAGCGTGCGTACCCTTCGCAATCCGTCCTCAAGGCGTTTGGCCGTATAGAAGAGCCACCGAATGGGATGGCTTGTCACAGAGGACGCGTTTCGACGTCTCGGCATCGCGGCATCTCGGCATTTCGGCGTAGCCCGTCTACACCTCCGTGTTTCAGCGTCTCGTTGCTGAGAACTCCAACAGCGTCGACTCGCCGCCGAGACGCCGAAACACGAGAGAGAGAAGCGTCGACTCCACTGCGACGGCAGTTTCACCTTGCATTGCCGATCGGCTGAACGATCGGTTGACGTGCCGCGGGCGCTTGAACGGGCAGAGCGCCTCGCTTGCGTGAACAGAGAAAAACAAAGCGGTAAGAGGAAAAGCGGTAGCGCCGTTAGTTCACAATCAGTATGAAGCATTACACGAAGCCACAAGGAAACGAGACTCTCTAGGCGTTTCTATGGGTCCCCCCCAGCTCCTTCATACGCTTACGTACTCTGGTTTTGTCGTCTCGCCGTCTCGCCGTCTTGGTGGCCGGACGACTCCAATCTTGCGTGAGAGTCGCCGCGAGCAACCCGGATGAATACAGCGTCTAGGACGGCGGATGCAGCAACCACAGGTGAGCGAGCGAATTGTCGTTTCAGCTGCGCCTCGGTGCTCGTGGCGACCAGCGTCGGACTCGGGGATACTGCTCACAACTTGACCCTCAAATCTGTCGGTGATGTCCTAGTGGAGCCGAACCTGATGTCCTAGCCGGCGTCTGCTGCTCGACTGATCCTGCTCTCAGCTGCAGCCTTGGCGGACTCGAAGGCGACTCGTACCGGAACTTAGAGGAGGATGATCAGAGGAGGGAAAACCTAGCAGAATCTACTTCGCATTCAAAACAGGCTCGGCCATATGTTTCGCAAAAAGAGCCGAGTATCTTATGGCAAATGTGAGCAACGAGGAGCTGTCTGCGTACTGATCCGTCCATAATGAACATCTACAAGCAATCAGCAACGCAGCAAGAACTGGATGCTGATCGGCGCTGAAGCTAACATTCGGAAGAGCCGTGAAGCATCATGAACTCATTTTTAAACATTCACTACTTCGCGAACTAACGTCGAAGCAGCACTATCTCAAACCACAACGTCGGTGAAGCTATTCCGTGGAGGTCGAGATACTTTCGCTCAACCTTATGACAGAACGAATGAAGCGAGCTAGTCGTTTCCCTGCCTACCTTGATAGATGACCTGAGAGGTCCGACTAGGAAAGCAAAGCAGCAGAGTCTCCTCTAAAGGAGTTTCAGGGGAATGCGAGATCAACCTAGGGAACGGATCAGCTCACTGATGAGCTCACTGATCAGTGATCAGCCGACCAGGGAGAACTCAGGTCAGGAGGAGTCAGGAGGACTCACGGGTGACGGGACGACTCAGGAAGTGAGCAGGATCTATTATAATCCCATGTATGCATGCGCTCGTTCCTAATCAAAAAGCAATATGTGGTGGATGAAGTTCACGTGGAGTAGATGTACGCAACGCGGAACTTTGGCGCTAGAGATCTGGCAAGTTTCGAACATTTGCCAATCCCTAGGGCCAGGCCGAAGTTTGGCGCCAAAGGTTCTGACATGCCGAGCTTCACAGCATGATGATTCGGCATACATACAGTTTCTTATCTATGCGCTCCATAAATTCGAGTCATTCTTAGATAAACAAAAATCACATGCTTACAACAATAACAACAAAAAAGGAACAAGGCCAACTGGTGAAACTTTCAACGTTTTATGAGACATCAGAAATCCATTCACTACAGCACCAGACGCCATCACAACTTCTCTCCTGCATGTGAGGCATGATAGTACTAAGAAAAGATACATGGCTAGCTCAAATAAACGAAAAGGAACATTCTCATTCAAATGGAGTCAGCCTCAAAACTTTCAGAAACTGTTGCAGGCATAGGAACTAACACGAGTAGAGGAAGTGTTCAATACAGGAACAAGCACGAGTTCAGGAAAAGTAACAGAATCTAGGACACACAGGAGCTAGCATGTGCAGAGAAGCTGTCACAGGCACAGACAGTTAACTGAAGGTGGGGAGCGTGTGCGTGGAAGGTGATGGCTAACAATCAAGCACCTCACAAGGAGAGAGGACATGGGGGGAGAAGAGAGGACTGCACGAGAGGAGGAGCAAGGATGGGAGAGGAGGGAAGAGCAAGGCCGATGGGACAAGCAGACATTGAGGAGGAGAAAGGCGAGGAGTGCAGACCAGTGATAAGAATTGGTAGGGGAAAGGGCAGAGAAGCTTCCGGTGCAAATCAGAGGGGGTAAGGAGAGTTTGAAATGCGAGACAAGGGAAAAAGACACGATGGACATGTCAGTCATGAAGGTAACAGTGCACAAATATAACAAAATGGCCTTCCCAGCCTCACCTGCCAACAGGAAGGGAAGGAGAAGGAAAAGCTAGTCCGTGCCTGACTCCAAGGATCGGCCCAAGCGCGACTCTCTGGGTGCTAGACACCTACAGGCTCGCTCTTCATATTTGCACGCACCTGCGCCTTGTCCCCTGCTCAGATAATGCTGTGCCATTTCTCACCAGAAGCGCACTGTCGGTCAGTTCCTGGCGGTCAGAGCCCCCCCTCTGGCGGTCAGTGCTGCCCCTCTGGCCGTCAGAGCCCCCCCTCTGGTGGGTAGAGCCGCCCTTCTGGCGGGCAGAGCCCCCCCTCTGGCGATCAGAGCCCCCCCTCTGGCGGTCAGTGCCACCCCTCTGGCGGTCAGAGCACCCCTCTGGCGGTCAGAGCCCCCCCTCTGGCGATCAGAGCCCCCACTCTGGCCGTCAGAGCCCCCCCTCTGGCGGTCAGAGCCCCCACTCTGGCCGTCAGAGCCCCCCCTCTGGCGGGCGGAGTCTCCTCTCTGGCGGTCTGAAGGTCAGAGCCCCCCCAGGTATGGAGGTATGTACGTATGTAGGTATGTAGGTTTGCCTCCGGCTCACTTCACCTTCGTTTCAGCCGGTATAAAGCCGCTAGTACGCTCAGAGTAGTCACTTTGCCTCCGGCTCACTTCACCTTCGTTTCAGCCGGTATAAAGCCGCTAGTACGCTCAGAGTAGTCACTTTGCCTCCGGCTCACTTCACCTTCGTTTCAGCCGGTATAAAGCCGCTAGTACGCTCAGAGTAGTCACTTTGCCTCCGGCTCACTTCACCTTCGTTTCAGCCGGTATAAAGCCGCTAGTACGCTCAGAGTAGTCACTTTGCCTCCGGCTCACTTCACCTTCGTTTCAGCCGGTATAAAGCCGCTAGTACGCTCAGAGTAGTCACTTTGCCTCCGGCTCACTTCACCTTCGTTTCAGCCGGTATAAAGCCGCTAGTACGCTCAGAGTAGTCACTTTGCCTCCGGCTCACTTCACCTTCGTTTCAGCCGGTATAAAGCCGCTAGTACGCTCAGAGTAGTCACTTTGCCTCCGGCTCACTTCACCTTCGTTTCAGCCGGTATAAAGCCGCTAGTACGCTCAGAGTAGTCACTTTGCCTCCGGCTCACTTCACCTTCGTTTCAGCCGGTATAAAGCCGCTAGTACGCTCAGAGTAGTCACTTTGCCTCCGGCTCACTTCACCTTCGTTTCAGCCGGTATAAAGCCGCTAGTACGCTCAGAGTAGTCACTTTGCCTCCGGCTCACTTCACCTTCGTTTCAGCCGGTATAAAGCCGCTAGTACGCTCAGAGTAGTCACTTTGCCTCCGGCTCACTTCACCTTCGTTTCAGCCGGTATAAAGCCGCTAGTACGCTCAGAGTAGTCACTTTGCCTCCGGCTCACTTCACCTTCGTTTCAGCCGGTATAAAGCCGCTAGTACGCTCAGAGTAGTCACTTTGCCTCCGGCTCACTTCACCTTCGTTTCAGCCGGTATAAAGCCGCTAGTACGCTCAGAGTAGTCACTTTGCCTCCGGCTCACTTCACCTTCGTTTCAGCCGGTATAAAGCCGCTAGTACGCTCAGAGTAGTCACTTTGCCTCCGGCTCACTTCACCTTCGTTTCAGCCGGTATAAAGCCGCTAGTACGCTCAGAGTAGTCACTTTGCCTCCGGCTCACTTCACCTTCGTTTCAGCCGGTATAAAGCCGCTAGTACGCTCAGAGTAGTCACTTTGCCTCCGGCTCACTTCACCTTCGTTTCAGCCGGTATAAAGCCGCTAGTACGCTCAGAGTAGTCACTTTGCCTCCGGCTCACTTCACCTTCGTTTCAGCCGGTATAAAGCCGCTAGTACGCTCAGAGTAGTCACTTTGCCTCCGGCTCACTTCACCTTCGTTTCAGCCGGTATAAAGCCGCTAGTACGCTCAGAGTAGTCACTTTGCCTCCGGCTCACTTCACCTTCGTTTCAGCCGGTATAAAGCCGCTAGTACGCTCAGAGTAGTCACTTTGCCTCCGGCTCACTTCACCTTCGTTTCAGCCGGTATAAAGCCGCTAGTACGCTCAGAGTAGTCACTTTGCCTCCGGCTCACTTCACCTTCGTTTCAGCCGGTATAAAGCCGCTAGTACGCTCAGAGTAGTCACTTTGCCTCCGGCTCACTTCACCTTCGTTTCAGCCGGTATAAAGCCGCTAGTACGCTCAGAGTAGTCACTTTGCCTCCGGCTCACTTCACCTTCGTTTCAGCCGGTATAAAGCCGCTAGTACGCTCAGAGTAGTCACTTTGCCTCCGGCTCACTTCACCTTCGTTTCAGCCGGTATAAAGCCGCTAGTACGCTCAGAGTAGTCACTTTGCCTCCGGCTCACTTCACCTTCGTTTCAGCCGGTATAAAGCCGCTAGTACGCTCAGAGTAGTCACTTTGCCTCCGGCTCACTTCACCTTCGTTTCAGCCGGTATAAAGCCGCTAGTACGCTCAGAGTAGTCACTTTGCCTCCGGCTCACTTCACCTTCGTTTCAGCCGGTATAAAGCCGCTAGTACGCTCAGAGTAGTCACTTTGCCTCCGGCTCACTTCACCTTCGTTTCAGCCGGTATAAAGCCGCTAGTACGCTCAGAGTAGTCACTTTGCCTCCGGCTCACTTCACCTTCGTTTCAGCCGGTATAAAGCCGCTAGTACGCTCAGAGTAGTCACTTTGCCTCCGGCTCACTTCACCTTCGTTTCAGCCGGTATAAAGCCGCTAGTACGCTCAGAGTAGTCACTTTGCCTCCGGCTCACTTCACCTTCGTTTCAGCCGGTATAAAGCCGCTAGTACGCTCAGAGTAGTCACTTTGCCTCCGGCTCACTTCACCTTCGTTTCAGCCGGTATAAAGCCGCTAGTACGCTCAGAGTAGTCACTTTGCCTCCGGCTCACTTCACCTTCGTTTCAGCCGGTATAAAGCCGCTAGTACGCTCAGAGTAGTCACTTTGCCTCCGGCTCACTTCACCTTCGTTTCAGCCGGTATAAAGCCGCTAGTACGCTCAGAGTAGTCACTTTGCCTCCGGCTCACTTCACCTTCGTTTCAGCCGGTATAAAGCCGCTAGTACGCTCAGAGTAGTCACTTTGCCTCCGGCTCACTTCACCTTCGTTTCAGCCGGTATAAAGCCGCTAGTACGCTCAGAGTAGTCACTTTGCCTCCGGCTCACTTCACCTTCGTTTCAGCCGGTATAAAGCCGCTAGTACGCTCAGAGTAGTCACTTTGCCTCCGGCTCACTTCACCTTCGTTTCAGCCGGTATAAAGCCGCTAGTACGCTCAGAGTAGTCACTTTGCCTCCGGCTCACTTCACCTTCGTTTCAGCCGGTATAAAGCCGCTAGTACGCTCAGAGTAGTCACTTTGCCTCCGGCTCACTTCACCTTCGTTTCAGCCGGTATAAAGCCGCTAGTACGCTCAGAGTAGTCACTTTGCCTCCGGCTCACTTCACCTTCGTTTCAGCCGGTATAAAGCCGCTAGTACGCTCAGAGTAGTCACTTTGCCTCCGGCTCACTTCACCTTCGTTTCAGCCGGTATAAAGCCGCTAGTACGCTCAGAGTAGTCACTTTGCCTCCGGCTCACTTCACCTTCGTTTCAGCCGGTATAAAGCCGCTAGTACGCTCAGAGTAGTCACTTTGCCTCCGGCTCACTTCACCTTCGTTTCAGCCGGTATAAAGCCGCTAGTACGCTCAGAGTAGTCACTTTGCCTCCGGCTCACTTCACCTTCGTTTCAGCCGGTATAAAGCCGCTAGTACGCTCAGAGTAGTCACTTTGCCTCCGGCTCACTTCACCTTCGTTTCAGCCGGTATAAAGCCGCTAGTACGCTCAGAGTAGTCACTTTGCCTCCGGCTCACTTCACCTTCGTTTCAGCCGGTATAAAGCCGCTAGTACGCTCAGAGTAGTCACTTTGCCTCCGGCTCACTTCACCTTCGTTTCAGCCGGTATAAAGCCGCTAGTACGCTCAGAGTAGTCACTTTGCCTCCGGCTCACTTCACCTTCGTTTCAGCCGGTATAAAGCCGCTAGTACGCTCAGAGTAGTCACTTTGCCTCCGGCTCACTTCACCTTCGTTTCAGCCGGTATAAAGCCGCTAGTACGCTCAGAGTAGTCACTTTGCCTCCGGCTCACTTCACCTTCGTTTCAGCCGGTATAAAGCCGCTAGTACGCTCAGAGTAGTCACTTTGCCTCCGGCTCACTTCACCTTCGTTTCAGCCGGTATAAAGCCGCTAGTACGCTCAGAGTAGTCACTTTGCCTCCGGCTCACTTCACCTTCGTTTCAGCCGGTATAAAGCCGCTAGTACGCTCAGAGTAGTCACTTTGCCTCCGGCTCACTTCACCTTCGTTTCAGCCGGTATAAAGCCGCTAGTACGCTCAGAGTAGTCACTTTGCCTCCGGCTCACTTCACCTTCGTTTCAGCCGGTATAAAGCCGCTAGTACGCTCAGAGTAGTCACTTTGCCTCCGGCTCACTTCACCTTCGTTTCAGCCGGTATAAAGCCGCTAGTACGCTCAGAGTAGTCACTTTGCCTCCGGCTCACTTCACCTTCGTTTCAGCCGGTATAAAGCCGCTAGTACGCTCAGAGTAGTCACTTTGCCTCCGGCTCACTTCACCTTCGTTTCAGCCGGTATAAAGCCGCTAGTACGCTCAGAGTAGTCACTTTGCCTCCGGCTCACTTCACCTTCGTTTCAGCCGGTATAAAGCCGCTAGTACGCTCAGAGTAGTCACTTTGCCTCCGGCTCACTTCACCTTCGTTTCAGCCGGTATAAAGCCGCTAGTACGCTCAGAGTAGTCACTTTGCCTCCGGCTCACTTCACCTTCGTTTCAGCCGGTATAAAGCCGCTAGTACGCTCAGAGTAGTCACTTTGCCTCCGGCTCACTTCACCTTCGTTTCAGCCGGTATAAAGCCGCTAGTACGCTCAGAGTAGTCACTTTGCCTCCGGCTCACTTCACCTTCGTTTCAGCCGGTATAAAGCCGCTAGTACGCTCAGAGTAGTCACTTTGCCTCCGGCTCACTTCACCTTCGTTTCAGCCGGTATAAAGCCGCTAGTACGCTCAGAGTAGTCACTTTGCCTCCGGCTCACTTCACCTTCGTTTCAGCCGGTATAAAGCCGCTAGTACGCTCAGAGTAGTCACTTTGCCTCCGGCTCACTTCACCTTCGTTTCAGCCGGTATAAAGCCGCTAGTACGCTCAGAGTAGTCACTTTGCCTCCGGCTCACTTCACCTTCGTTTCAGCCGGTATAAAGCCGCTAGTACGCTCAGAGTAGTCACTTTGCCTCCGGCTCACTTCACCTTCGTTTCAGCCGGTATAAAGCCGCTAGTACGCTCAGAGTAGTCACTTTGCCTCCGGCTCACTTCACCTTCGTTTCAGCCGGTATAAAGCCGCTAGTACGCTCAGAGTAGTCACTTTGCCTCCGGCTCACTTCACCTTCGTTTCAGCCGGTATAAAGCCGCTAGTACGCTCAGAGTAGTCACTTTGCCTCCGGCTCACTTCACCTTCGTTTCAGCCGGTATAAAGCCGCTAGTACGCTCAGAGTAGTCACTTTGCCTCCGGCTCACTTCACCTTCGTTTCAGCCGGTATAAAGCCGCTAGTACGCTCAGAGTAGTCACTTTGCCTCCGGCTCACTTCACCTTCGTTTCAGCCGGTATAAAGCCGCTAGTACGCTCAGAGTA